GCCTTTGAAGATTCACCCTTTAACTATACTCCTAGCAGAAAGGACAAGGAAGACTAAGTCAATTTTTTAAAAATTGTTGTTTATAAAAGTAAAGTAAAGGCCCTCCCGTTGTTCATCGATTTGCTCGAGCGGGCCCAGTAACGTCTCCATTGGAGACTTTGTTGTTACTGTGTTTGGCATATCGAGTACGTCACGGGGAGCTTGCCAGGCCCTGCCTTTCAGGCGAGATACTCTCAGTAGCTTGCCGGGCTCTCCGAGAGGGGCAGAGGAATCGAACTCGGGTCGGCCATGTTGGCTGCGTGCAAGGCAAACGCCCTACCGCTGTGCTTGGGGCTTACTCTTAGCTCTGCACTCTGGGTGCAGGGGACCATACATATGCCGGGGATCGAACCTGAGTTGGCTGCATGCAAGATAAGTGCCTTACCTGCTGTACTATCTCTCCTGCCCCTAACCCATTCAAGTTGGAATGACTTCCTTTCTAAGTTACATGCAGCTGTGCTGTATCTACGTATCTCACTCAGAAGTGACCCAGGTAAGCCATAGTCACCCAAACACTAAGGTATCAACTGATAAAACTCTCTGACCAGAAATGCCTGACTCCTAAGAAAGACTTACTGCAAGTAAAAGGTTCTGTTGTTTTCTGCAAAGACAACGTGGGGGTTATAAACAAAAGATTCTACCACGGTCATGATCCTACTATTGTCTCTTGCAAGCTCCTATCTGGATACCTGGGTGAGGTCTGATGCTATTCTGCTTCCCTTCCCAAGAAATGGGGTTAATACATCCCCAGATGGCTACAGGGAGGATTAAGGGTTATTATTCTTGGCATTCATCTCTGTCCCAGCTCTAACAGTTGTGTCCCTGTTTGTTGCAAATAATAGAGTAAAAATAAAAACACAAACAATGCCTTCCATCTGACTCTTTGGGCAGCATGAGAATTTGCTGTTCACAGGTCTTTGACAATGTTCAACCTGTTGTTTGAATCCTCCTCTTATTCAGGTTTCGAGTTTTTAGAGTATTAGTCACTAATGCCACAAAGTCCTTCGAGGAGTCAGCAGCTATTACTAACAGTATAAAGAATGAGTCCCAGAAGTTTCAGGGTTGCAATTAGGCCTGAACTCACCGGAAGAAGCCAAAGGTTTCCTCTGTCTGCAAACCTGGTCTCTGAAAGACAGTGAGGTTTAGTGAAAATTACGTATTTCATCATTCAGACCTCATATACCCACTGTATGGTAGGTACCATCGTCAGTCTCATTTCACAGATGAGAAAACGGTATCTCTCAGGAAATACATGACTGAGGAGAAACAGGTCAAAGAGCTAAGAAAAGGTGATGCAGGTTCAAACACGAGTCCCACCATGCTACTTCTGCAACCTCTTACCAAATTGGTGAACTGTCTGGAGCCTCAGTGTTCTCAGGTGTAAAGTGAGGGACATTACTTCAGAAGAGATTTCTGGGGATTAAATGACATACAATAGAAAACTATCTAGCAAGTGCCTTGCACCATTAAAAAAGGGTAGGCATTAGGGACACCTCTTTTTTTTTTAACGAATCAAGATGGCAAAGAATTTGATATGGTATTCACAGAATAACAAAGTTTAAATTATTCAAAGAGGGCTGTGGAGAGAGTTCAAAAGATTGGAACACATGCTTTGCATACTGGAAGCATAGGATCAATCTCCAGCACTGCAGGGTCCCCCCAAGCACCAATAGCACCAACCCTGAGCACAGTGGGTTGTAGCCCCAAAAGCAACACCAATAAACCCCTAAGATACTAAAGTATCAATGAGCCAAATTTCCTATATATATATATGAAAACAATTCACAACTTCTCAACTTCTACTTCAACCAGATCCTTGATAGAAGTGGCACAAGCTTTAATACCTTCAATGATGGGTAACTCACTCTCTTTCATGGCAGATAATTCTTATTCTGCTTTTTTTTTTTTTTTTTTGCCACCAACTGGCAGTGCTCAGGGTTTACTCCTGGCTTGGGGATTAGAAGATCATATGGGGTGTTGGGGATCGACCTCGTTAGCCATGTGTAAGGCAAGTACCCTACCTACTATACTATCACTCTGGCCCTGACAATTTCATTTTTATAAAGTGAAATTCTCTCTTATCAAGACAAAGTTCACCTTCTTGGAATTTCTGTCCTTCAATACTAGTTGCTGCCTTCTGAAATCAAACAGAGAAAGTCCATAACCCTTTCCACATAACAGTTTTTCAAGTATGTGCAGGCAGGTATCATGTTCCTCAGGTATTTAGCTTGAGTTCTTTCACTTCTTCCTCAAGTGACACAGTTCCCAAGTCAGATCAATATCCAGTCTCAGAGCAGGCACACATGGGTTTGGTTCCAATCCTTTCTCATACTAGTTGTGTGATCTTAGGCAAATTATTTACCCTCTCTGAACCTACTTCTTCATCTGTATAATCAGGGAAAGTTATTTCTGCCGCACAGGGCGTGCATGAGGATTAAATTAAAGTACAAACACTATCTAGTACAGGACTAAACATATACTGATCCTCAGTAATAGTAATTTTTAAGAAATATTCTCTAAAGTAAATTATTGAGAATTAAATGTAGTATTAAGGGTATGGTTTCTGTTGGTAAGTGCCAGTGCTCAAGTTTTTAAGAGTATTTATCCTAGCAAACAGGAAAACACAGCCCGGCGGTTATATGGGTCCATCTGTAATAGCAACACAAAGATGCAGGGGAGAATCTGGGAAAATAAGGAAGAAATAGGTAATGAAATAAGACAGATCTTTAAAGCTGTACCCAAAAGAAAGGCAGCATTACCCTACTACATGTTGCTATGACTCCCTCAGACCCAGGTCTGCACATGTTGGCCACATGCCCCAATTTTATTTACTTTAAATCTTTTTGTTTTTGTGTCACACCCAGTGGTGCTCAGGGCTTATGCCTGGCTCTGTGCTTAGAGATCACTCTGGGCAGTGCTCAGGTGACTATAAGCGGTGCCAGGGATCAAATCCAAGTCAGCTGCATGCAAGGCAAGCAAGTGTCTTATCTGCTGTACCACCTCTCCAGCCCCACATGACCTAATTTTAAGGTGAGCGAAGGGGGCCGAAGCGATAGCAAGTGGGTAAGGTGCTTGCTTTGCACACGGCTTACCTGAGTTTTATCCCCAACACCACATATGGTCCTCTGAGCCCAGCCAGGAGTAAGCTCTGTGCACTGCTGAGTGTGACCCAACAAACAAATGGCAGGGGGGATGGGGAGAGGAGGTGAAGAAGAGGAAAAATAAAAATAAAAGAATGACCTGGGTTTGATCCCCAGCATCTCAAACCCCACCAGGAGTGGTCCCTGAGCACAGAGCCAGGAGTAAGCCCAGAGTACTGCTGGGTGTAGCCCACAAACAAACAAACAAAATTCAAAACCGACAAACCATCACTGTCAACACTATTACCACGGGCCAGAGAGTAAGTCAGCGGGCTGAGCCCATGCTTTGCATGCAGGAGGCCCTGTTCAATCCCTGGCATCGCACAGTCTCTGGAGAACCACCAGCAGTAACCAGGAGTGGATTCTGAGCACAGCCAGTGCAGCCCCCTCCCCCCTCCCCAAAAATTCCAAAACCAAAACCAAAAAGTCACTATTACCACACAATCATCACACATATTTTTCCCCTGAAAGAATTACAGGTAGAGATAAAAGATTATTACCCAACAATTCTGCAAAGTTGACACAAAGTGCTTCTTAAAATGAGGTGTGACTTGAACATGAATGCCCCAAAAGAGTTCAAAAGAGTGGAATAGGGCAGCATGATCACAAAGAAAAGGTTATTTTCCACAAACCAATGAAATATAATGACCTATAGTGAAGAAATCCATTGCTATCATCGCTGATCTTGATACTCAGCCTACTAGTTTCTCCTGGGTCTGTGAAAAAGGACTGAGTCAACAGACTCAACAGCCGAGATGCATTTGAAAACCTTTTAACAAGAATTAACAAGGAAGAACAGCTAGAACTCAAAACAGAAACAGCCTGGAGTAGTTCCTTCCCCACCATGAGCAAGAGGCTGGCCACTCACGGAGGCACCGAAAAGCGCTAACGTACAAAAAGCTGGGCACTGAGTCAGGAGGTATCCTCAGAAGTTTTCTTCTCAAAATGGATTCAGGCTTGCTGAAAGCGTACACTGAACCGCGCCACTGCACCCTGATCATTCACCTGTACCTCGGACGGATGAAAAGCTTCTAAACTCATAAGCTGGGGAGAACTTTAAAATGTGCTCTGCCACCACCTCGGGAAGTCAAACAAAGTCCCTTCCAGACGTTCGCCCTCGGTCCCCAGAGCTCATTTGCAGAGAACCTGGTAGACACCTGCAGAGGAGAACCAGAGGGCACCCAGCAGATTCGACCTGGCTGGCGTCCCGGGCGACCCACTGCAGCTCGCAGTGTCTCCTCTCGGCTCCTCTCTTCCGATTGGCCCTTCGAGGATCCGGTGCCCCACGGGGCCTTTGTACAGGCGCTGAAGTCGCCCGCTGGAAACACCTTGGCGGAGTACAGCTCGGCGCCAGAACGGGCCACTGAAGGCATGTGCCGCTGCCAGAACGCGAGGCGCCGAGTGAGAGAGCGGCGAGAGCAGACGGGGCACGGACCGGCACCGCCGCGGAGAGCCAGCGAGCAGGTCGGCGGGGCACTCGGGCGCTCCCACCTGCCCCCCGCGTCCCGAGATCCCGCGCCAGATCAGATGTCAAACAAAAACTCCGCAAAGAAGTCCCGCGGTGGGACGCCTTCCACCCCGCCCTCCGCAGGGCCGACCCCGCACGGCCCCACCAGGCCCCCGACCCACGCTGCCCGGTGCACCGGCGAGGCCTGCCCCTGCCCGGGACACCCCGGGGCCCCGGCGCGGGCGGGCTCCGGCTCCCGGGCCGGCGTGGCAGGGGCCGGCCCGCAGCGGGGCGGCCCGGGTGCCGGCTCTGCGGGCGCCCGTCCTCGCCCGGGCGCCCGCCCAGGGCAGGGGGCGGCGAGGCTCCCCCCGTACCTGTCAGGCCTCTTTCCAGGACCAGCTGCGGTGCAACTTCAGGAGCCCATGTCCGTCCGGGGGGGCCCAGCCCCTCTCCCGGGAGGGGGGCCGCGGATCCCAGGGAGGGGGCTGGGGGGCCCGGGCAGCTCTAGCCCCTTCCCATGCTCCTCGGCCGGCGCCTGACCGCGGCCGGACAGCGCCTCCGCCCGCCCCTGCGCACCGCCTCACACCCGCGCTCACACACACTCACACTCCCTCGCGCGCTCTCACACACGCACCCCCCTCCCTCCTCCTCTTCTGTTTATCTCCTCCAGCTGTCTGGGGACCCAGGAGAAGCCCAGCAGCGCGCCTGCGCCACGCAGTCTCCGCCCCCGCCCCGCGCCTCGCAGCCGGCGGCCACGCTACGGAGGCAGCGCCTGGCCGTTTCCAGAATGGCGAGCCGGGTTCCTCCCGCCTCCACCCCGCCCGGCCCGCGCCCGGGCAACGTCCGCTGCCGGCGGCGCCCACTAACCTGCTAGCGGGGGAGCCCCGCACCGCCGCGGCCAATCAGCTGCGCGCCTGGCGGCAGGGCCGGCCAATAGGCGGGCGGCAGAGCCGAGCTGAGCCGCGGGTCATCCTGGGAATCGTAGTTTTTCTCCGTCCGCGAACACCCGCAGAGTGGGCTCACCCCCCGCCCAGTTGCCATTAGTTACCCGGACGCACTTTGCGCCCCCACGCCCACGAAAAATTCAGGTAGCTTTGGGACCGTCTCCCTACACACACTTTCCCTTTGCCCCTCAGAACTTGAGGCAGTCTCCTGAGAACCGCCTTTGAGACTTCTTCAGAGTCCCTGAATTATGGGACTCTCAGGGTGGGGCTCAGATCCTTAGTCTTTCCCGCTCTCAGAGGGAGCTGAAGTGGCACGTTCCTCGCTCTTGTCTCCTAGGCTAGAGAAAACGAGTATACAGGAATCAGTCCTCCAGAGGCCGGCCGACAAGGGAGCCTGCCACATGTACTCTGGGGACTTTGGGGCAGGGGCCAGAGCCAAATTCCATGAGAAGCCGAGGCGGCACTGCCGGAACACCTCCAGTCTTGCGAATTCCCAAGTCCACTGGAGACGATATTCTTGGTAATAAGGAAGTTCCTGAAGTGACAAGCGAGGCACATGGCTGTCTTCTGAACGCAGAGATCAGGTTCCCCGTGAGGTGCTGCAAATCAGAAAAGGAAGACGTTGCCAACATCTTCCCAGACTGGAAATTTCCCACATATAGGGTGCCGTTTTCCTAATGATGATAGTTTGCTTTTATTGAGCAATCACCATGCAGTCCTTTAAAGCTCTTTAGACAACTATTACTATATTGTGCTGTGCAGAAAAGGAAGCTGAGGCATAAAGAAGTTAAAAGCAACTTGCCCAGTGCTTCAGAGCTGAAAAGGAAGTCTAACTCAAACCTAGATATTCCTGACTCAGAGTCTGAGATTCTCAGTCTTCTTATTGTGGGGCCACTGCAACTGATGTGAAGTGGAGGTGTGCGGGCGCTGGCATGTGTCCCAAGGGATCAAACCTAGGACCTAGCATATATAAGACATATGGTCTGGCCTCAGAAATAGTACAGTAGCTAGAGTGCTTGCCTTGAATTGGGCAAGCCAGGTTTGATCTCGGGCACCCCATATGCTCCCTGCAAGGAGTAATCCTTGAGTGCAGAGCCAGGAGTAAGCCCTTAGCACAATCCTGATGTGCTCCACCACCCCTAAAAAAAGTGCTGTGTCACTTTGAGCTATATCCCTGGCTTTGAGAGTCTGTGCTTTTGAGCACTCTGCCCTTCCACTGTGACCAGTCACAGCACCAACTTTCAGGAAAAACTGGTATTTATAGTGCTTGTCCCATGTTTAAACTTCAAGTGTTACATGGATTTGTTTCCTGCTTTAACTCACATCAGTCTGTGGGCTCCCAAAGGGTAATTTTTCACTCTTTGGAGGGATTAGAGTTGTGAATTCAGTTTTGTGTAGTGCCTGTCTCCTAAAAATGTTATGGGCCATTCCTGCTGGTCTTTCTCTCATACCTATTCCACATAATACAAAACTTCATAGACTTTGGGACAAGAAAGCTTTGGGATAGCCTATCCATATGCCCAGGTTTATGCTGAAAGCCTGTTAAGTTCACTGAGTTAAATAAAATAATATGAGCATTTATTGAACACCATGGGAAATAAGTGCTTACTAATAAATTAAGCAATACTCTTACAATTACACAAATTGGAGTGATGTAGCTGGTATTAGAAACCAAGTTTATTTGAATCCAGAACACCGCCCTCCATTTTACATATTTAATTATTTTATTTTCCCCACTTCCCTTCTTGTGTTGCTATTGAATGACAAGGGCTCACATACTTCATTGTGGTATACCAGAACCCACACCCTTTGTTATGATGCCAAGGACCCCAAATCATAGTGCCAATTGGATCACATTTGGCATGTGTAATGCTGCCAGGGATTTAACTCAGTCTTCTGCTTCTAAAGCAGACATTCCACCTCTGATCCCACACCCCATGCCCTAGAAATTCCTTTTATGGGAGTCAGGGGTTTGGGTCACATCCAGTGTTGCTTAGGGTTTACTGTCTCTCCAGCCCTGGAGTCCTATTTTTTTTTATGCTTTTTTGGTCACACCCAGCGATGCACAGGGGTTACTCCTGGCTCTGCACTCAGGAATTACTCCTGGCGGTGCTCAGGGGACCATATGGGATGCTGGGAATCAAACCCGGGTCCGCCACGTGCAAGGCAAATGCCATACCCGCTATGTTATCTTTCCAGCCCCATGAAGTCCTATTTTATTTTATTTTATTTTATTTTATTTATTTTTTTGCTTTTTGGGTCATACCCGGCGATGATCAGGGGTTACTCCTGGCTCATGCACTCAGGAATTGCTCCTGGCGGTGCTCAGGGGACCATATGGAATGCTGGGAATCGAACCTGTGTCGGCCATGTTGGCTGCATGCAAGGCAAATGCCCTACCCGCTGTGCTATCGCTCCAGCTCAAAGTCGTATTTTTTTTTTTTTTGCTTTTTGGATCACACCCAGCGTTGCACAGGGATTACTTCTGGTTCATGCACTCAGAAATTACTCCTGGCTATATATGGGGGACCATATGGGATGCTGGGAATCGAACCCGGGTTGAGCCGCATATAAGGCAAACGCCCTACCCGCTGTGCTATCACTCCAGCCCCCCGAAGTCCTAATTTTAACCCTTGTTCTATGTTGGCAACGCTAAAGAGGACCTTAGAAAACACAGCAAAAAAGTGAGAGTAACAGAAGAAAGAAAAAAAATTTCTCACTTCTGTATCTCCAAGTATAATTTCTGATATGTAGTAGATACTCAGTAGATATTTGTCAGAATGAACTTCAGTCAATAGAGTAGATGACAGGAAGGAGAAATCAATAATAGTTAAATTTATTATTTATTATTTTCTTCCAGGTGTTAACTTGCCCTTCATGCATTCTTTACATGTATGAATATACATGGATTTGACATGTGTATATATTGCACATATACACGTATATACCTACATGCATTCATGTACATGAATTGATACATGTATCTATATACACACATAAATACACACACTAACTCATTTGATTCTTACAATTATCTTATTACTTAGGTATTAGTCTTACTCCCATTCTATATAGCAGAAACATATACTCAAAAGAGGGTTAAGTTCAGAATCAAAAGAGGCCCATGGGTGTCGCTCAGTAGTAGAGTACATACCTCACATAAGTAAAGGCATAGGGTTGAGTCTCTGGTACCACATAAACAAAAAGTCTCTCAGAATCAGACACCAAGGACAACATAGATATTTTCAGATCAGTTTAAAAGAGCGCTTTCTAACCTACAGAGCCAGACTAGGACAGTTATGAGTTCTCTACCTTTGGAAGTATTTAATTATATGATATATTGTTTGATCACACTTGACAGTAAATATGATGTCTAACATAATTTAATTATATGATAGATAATATGATATTCCCAACATACCCTAGAAATATTATTACATAATATTTAGCTAATTAACCAGTTAATTCCAATATTCTCTGATTTGGTTTCTGTAAGTATACAATACAAACATTATCCCAATAAGGCTCATGCAACAAATGAAGCTCTTTTTTATTTCTCCTAAGAGTACTATATGGTCCTCCAACTGATCACTAACTCTGCAGTGTGGGGTCATGGATGACACCATTCTCACTTCCTGATTGGACTCCTGGGCAAAATTGAACCTAAAATTGAAGATGGTATTTCATACACTATTCACATTGGCAAAACAGAGGCCCGGGGAGATAGAACATGGCTGATACCAGTTCAATCCCCAGCATTACATATGGCACACCAGGAGTGATCCCTGAGAACAGAGCCAAGAGTAAGTCTTGAGCATCATTGAGTGTGCCCCCCAAACCCAAAACGTCAAAACAATCTAATCATTCTTCTAAAGAGGGGGAATGGATGGGTAAATTTGTGTTTAGTCCATACACTGAAGTACTACACAACTAATTAAAATATTCAGGACTGGACAGACAGTTCAAACGAATGAACTCATGCTTTGTATGCATGGGGTCCAGGGTTGATCCCTGGCACCAGAGTCCCCCAAGCTACCAGGAGCAACTTCCTAACACAAAGTCAGGCATAGTTCCCCAACATCTCCAGGTGTGGCCCCAATTCAAAAAAGAAAATTTTTGACATGAGCAATAAATAAAATAAAATAAAAAGAACCCTCCCCCCCTTCATGAACACCACACCATTACTTGTGGACCTCAACTAAGAGTGCAAGCCCACAGACACAAGACAGTGCAAACCTAGGTGACACAACAGCTGTGTGTGTGTGCACCACAGTCTGATGTGTGGCCCCAGAAGTGTGATCCCAGAGAGCATCACAGTTAAAACTGTGCGAGCACCAAAGCCAGGCATCAGTATCACCCAATCCAGTCACTCCAATGATAACAACAGGCAGGAAGAGAATGCAGAGGTTGGAGAGAAGGGAAGAAAACAGAAAACAAAAGCCTTTTAGAACCCCCAAAAGATTTCTGCTTATGCCTCATTTGGCAGAATTATGTACTGCAGCTATTTGACCTGAAAATGGTTTGGAAGGGTTTGAAAAATTATTTTTATATAGTATTTCCAGTCTTTAAGTGCAAGAAAATGCAGAGGAAACAAGATTAGTGAGTGGATATTGGTCAACCAACTAGAACTTTTAGCTACACAACCTTTTAAGGTGATGATTGTGTGTGTGTGTGTGTGTGTGTTTGTTTTGGCTTGGGGGCCATACCTAGTGATACTTGGTGGTTACTCTCGACTCTGCACTCAGGAATTACTACTGGAGGTGCTTGTGGACCATATGGGATGCAGGGAAGTGAACCTAATTAACAGCATGCAAGGCAAATGTCCTAACCACTGTACTATCTCTCTGGCC